CTACATCTAACCTGCAAAGACTGAATTGATTCAGCCTTGGGCTTTTTGACTGTCTGTACTAAGCCAAAGTGACAGGAGAAGTTATTTAACTTAAAACTGACTTTTGAGGCAAAGCATAGGCTCTTCCTTAGTTGCACAAAATAACTTGGCCTCAGCTGAACCTTTTTAGAGTAATTGAAGAGAAGTGTCCTGTTTTCTCCCTTTTGCTCTAAAATGGTTGCTTGATGCAACTTCCTACTTCTGCAGTTGCCCCCCTTTAAGGTAAATGAAACGGTCTTGGTACCAAGTGTCCTGCCTTTATCTTGGAAGTTGAGTGGAGGGGCTGAGACAAGACAGGGCTTTTGATGGTTAGGCTTGGAGATTTCAGCAGAGCTGTTGGAGTTGGGTGGACACTAGGTGACCCTGGCTCTTTCTAAAGGAGCACTATCTGTTTTCCTCAGAACCAGCCTAAAGGTTGCAAGAGCAACTCCTGTGATTCAAGGTAGGTCAAGTACGTGACTAGAATGAATGGCTTGAATGCTGTTTCTCCAAGAGTGATTTTTGTGAGTGAAGCTTAGATACAGGATAAGGGAAAAGAACTGTTCTGAACAGGCTCCTGGGAGGAAGGCTTTTTTTTTTTTTTTTTAACCCCCCCCCCCCTTTAAGAACACATTTGTCTTTTTAAGTGCCCTTCTGGACAGGGGCTACCTCTTGTAAGAGTGAAAACAGGATTTTGAGATCTTCTGTCAGAAATTCTATCTGCCTGTGGGTTTTTAAGTAATATTTGCTTTTTTAGCAGTGCTGCTGCAGACCTGAGTAGCTTCTGCCCTTACAGCACAGGAAAGGAAACACTGGGTGGTACATATTCTTGGGAGTGAAACTCTCTCTCGGGGTAGGCAGCAGCTCTGCCTGTCTTCTCACCAGAAGGGAAGGAGGGGATAGCCAGTCTCTCAAGGGGGGGGGGTCCCCCCCACCCCTTGCAGTAGGTGTTGAAATGAAGTCATCCTAAATCTGTCAACAGACTTTAATTGCTACAGTAGTGGAAGCTGTTTTAATAGGAGATGGCAGTATTATGTTCTAACTTGGGATAGAAGAGGTCACAGTGTTCTCATTTTCAGGGTAACTAAGCAGGTGGACTATATGCATAGTAGGAACCTAGTTAGGAGACAGAAGCTAAAACCTTGCTTTATAATGTGAGCTTGCTCCTAGACACCTGAAATAAGATTCTGCCTGTTTATCATTGCTGAAAGCAACCAAGCTAGTAATAGGCCTCTTTATGAACACTTGGGGACAGCTCTTGCCTCCTACATTGACCTTTGCCTTTCCTTCTAGCAACTGTTTTTAGGGCTTTTTTTTCTTTTCCTGAGATGAGTTATCCAGCCTAAGCACTAGTAAAGAAATTGGCTGGTAAACCGATTTCAATCTCCCTTTTGCCAAAATCTGCAAATTGAAGACCCACCCATTGTGATAATAATCCTCATGTGTTGACTAGCACTTGCATAATACTGTGCCTTATGCCCTTTTTAAGACCTAACTTGCTTCAGAAGCTATATCAGCAAAGCTTTATTTTCCCAATTTGTGCTCAATAATTTACACTTTGCCAGTAACTACAGATACCAGCCATCCAGGGCTTCTATTTCTGGAATGGCAGGTTTTGTTTAATTAAAAAAGTACTAAAAAATATTCACCTCAGCTGGGTTTTATCTTTCCTGTTACTGGCAGAAACTGGGAGCATGGGCTAAGGCTGAGTACATAAATGCCCCTTATGAAAAAACTGGCCCCTACATTTTGAAGTCAAACCTGAAACTCTTGTGACATGCAGCAGCTGTTTTCATTCTCATCTTGTTTCCAGTTTTTCAGTTTTGACACTTACTGGTGAGCCATGTTTTTTTGGGTCTCACTGTCCTTGGAGGTGAGGGTGTAGTTTTTTTTTTTTTTTGGGTTGTGG